ATTTTCTAATTTCCTGTCGCGTTTAAACATTGGTTAATGTATGTAAAATTATAGACTCTGGGGAAACTTGGACTCTTCTTATCTGCGTCTTTTTCTATCGCATTTTCATATCGAAATATGTGGGTGAGCGAAAAACTACACGATAGATTATCTTCCATTGAGGTCTGGTTATTTATTTCTGTACTTTTAACGCTTCGTTTGCGTATATTCATTAAACATAACTAACAATCGTAAATAGATTTCCAAATTTTTCATGCGAGGGAATAATTATAGATTAGACGTTATGTATTTATAGGAAAATTATATAATTTATTTAAAATATACAAAATTAATGTAATTCTATACAGTATTATCATTTAATAATAGAAGTAAATTGTAAGAAATAAATAATAAATAAATTACTTAATCTCATTATTATTACTACTTAAATCAATTAAAAATTATTATTCAGTCAGTTCTTCAAAAAAAATATCTATATTTATAGGATTTTAAATAATATTTGCAACATTGTTACTTCCCTTTCAATTTTGTAATATTCATAAAGTTGACTAACTTCCATAAAATGGATTCTGAGCAAGAGATTCAGACATAAAAAAATTATCACATTCAAGAAAAAAGCGAAGTGAACTTTAATTCATTACTTAAAGATTACGCAGAAATTAGCAATTTTTGGCAATGGTGATTAAAGAGACTTCCTGCTAGAATTTCAATAATAAAAGAGAGAAATGAATTGTATTTTAATTATTTGAAATGTAACAGTATTGTTTCCTTTTGGAAATAATTTCGATTTATAGTAATGTTTTGCGAATTAACAGATGAAAGAGTACGTAAATTTAATTCATTACTAAAAATTATTTGAAAAGTGAACTGTTACATTTCCTCCAAAAGCATTCCCATTTAAAGTAACGTAATACGATAATACCATAATCAAGTTTTATGAATTGATAGATATCAAAGCTTGTGCTTGAAAAATTATTTAGAAAGTAGAAATTTTTTGCAAATAACTTTCCTCCAAGCTATTTCCATTTAAATAGTAATACAATAATCAACATATCGAACAGATAACAAAAAGTTTCGAATTAAGACTCGCAATCAAATTAAATTAATTACTTAAGGATTACTTGAAAAGTAGCACTGTTGCGTTCAACATCAAGAAGCTCTTCTCACAATCAGGGATTTTGTAATCGATAGACGTGGAGTAAATGATCTCGACAGTGTCCACGATCAAAGATCAACGACAAGGTTTCGTGAATTCGAGTCGCGTGGCACTAGACAAATTGATATATGTTTACGTAATTGGACGAGAGACGCCGTCTGCGTTGTTTTTGACCATTTTTTTTTTTTTTTTTTTTTTTTTTTTTTGAACGTGATACATTGCAGATATTAAGCGTAATCATCAGAGATAACGAGCAACAGCACTTGTAAATATTATCATCTCGATCGCGTCTCATCGACATCTGTAAAGAACTGATTACACATGCAAATTGACGAACGCCGACCGAATATTAGTCATCGTTAATACTGAGTTAGAAATTTACGTATCATTCACTTTTTTTCTTATCTTATCCATCAACGTGGATTTCACTGAATTTTGTTGAATATAGAGAAAATTGGAATAAAAAGGGAAAAAATATTTTTCCTAGCCTTTTCTTTTGTTTCAAGATGATGGGAATTAATAAGAGTGGAAAAACTGAGTGGAAATTATATTATAGGATTTTACTTAGAATTCTATCTTACATGATAAAAGTACCTATTAATTTTTATGATTTTATATTAATAATATGAATATTAATATTAAAAAGTTTAATTCAAGTTATAATATTAATATCAAATTTCCATTCGATTTTACCATTTTATTTTCATCATTCAGAACAAGATAGAAAATTAATATTAATATGAAACTATAAAAAGATTCAAAATCCCATTAGTTATCACCATCGTGATTCTAGGATGATGTAATTTATTGACCAGAAAATAAATTGAAGCAAATATTAATCGATCAAAAATTACGAATTACTTTTTATTCCTTTTCTTCTTTTTTACAATGAAACTTCGAATTTTTATCCTTGACGATTCAGAGATTTTCGACGATGTCTATTTATTTTTGGAAGATAATTTGTTGAGTAAAAATTACATTGAAGGAAAAGAAGAAAGAACGTAATATCAAGTAAATTTATAGATAAATTTAATTGCTTTTAAACGAGAGAGAAGAAAATGTCAACATAAAAATTAGATAAGAAATTGCAAAATTTTTATGAATCCTTTTATGAAATTCGACTTTGTATTCAAAAACTCTGTAACGATCGTTCACGTCGAAAACTTAGTGTCATTGCCGTCGCATAATTGTACCAACAGTCGTATCTCGTATATTATTATGATAATCGTACACAAATATTGTAATACTCGTGTCTTCTTTTTCTTTGTTCCTTTCGTTACGTACTAGACGCATAAAGTTATGTAAAAATTAAATGTTACTTAAACGTGGTTATTAAATCTAACATCGAGTCATCCTTTTTTTATTTTTTGGTAGCACGAATCAATCCCCTTTTACTTACAATTAAATGACGAATCCAAAATGATTTATCCAATCACTTGAAATAAACGCTCTTGCTTTCTGTAACAAGTGAAAATTACATGGAATTTGTCACATTAATTACATGTAATTCATTAATTACACACAATTTGTTATTTACATTTGCCAATTTTTCAGTCAGGAGATCCTATAAGATCGATATTTTTTTAAGAAATCATTCTTTTTTTCCAAGTTATCACTGATAAAATCTGATAAACACGTCTGTTTGTCTTCTTCGTTCCTCTGCACCGAGGTTTCGAGAATTCGTCACGTCGTTTACTCTTCGTTCTTATCGTACGGGCACGTTCGCATTAAATTCGCACTGCTCTTTACGCGGAAATTCGCATGCTCGCCACGTATCGTATCACGAAGGACAAATTACAGATGGTGAAATCGGCGAGCAGGAAAATTTTTCGTTGGCGATTGTTCGCAAAATTTCGTCATACAATCACGAATATCTCGTTTTATACTTGGTCGACGAGAAATTCGATTGAGAGACGCGCATGGCATATAAATGTTCCAAGGAAATAAAATATTGCGAAATGAAAAAAATTTCCCCGATTGATCGATAAAGTGTTTTTTTATATGCCAATTACAATTGAGTTCTGTTTTTTTTTTTTTTT